GTGGGCCCGGGCTGGATTCAAACCTGCCACCTTAGGTGTACGTGGCTGGCGCCTTAGCCACTTGAGCCACAGGGGCTGAGCTGAAATTACTTAACAGATTACCATTTCTTTAGACAATTACAGAATTCAGGGAAGCATTTATGATTACTGGTTTATTGTAAAGGATATTTCAAAGGATACAGGTGAAGAGATTCACAGGACAAAGCTCAGGGGAGAGGGCCCAGGAGCTTCAAGGCCTTTCTGGGGGCACTGCCCTCCAGGAATCTACATGTGACCAACATTCTGAGGCTCTCTGAACCCTGTGGTGAGGGATTTTTACAAAGACTTCATCATGTGGGCATGAGCAACATTAGCTCAATCTCTAGCCCCTCTCCCCTTCCTAGGGGATGGAATGTTAAAGTCCCAAACTTTAACATTCCAGGCTTCTCATTATGGCCTGGTCTTTCTCTTAACCGGCCCCTAACCAGGAGATCACCAAAGTTGCCTTCTTAGAACAAATCACACTACTGTTACCCAGGAATTTCCAAGTGATCAGATGCTCTTTGTCAGGATCTGGAGAAGAGACCAATATATGAATTTCTTCTTCTTTCAGAAGGTCTTTCAGCCATTCCTCAGTTCTGTTTTCCCCACATGTCCCTGGTGTGTGTAAGAGGGGACTAGGTTGGCTTTTTGAGATTATTACTCAGCAGGATAGGAAAGAGAACGGACAGAAAGATCCTGTAACAGAACACGGAACATCATTCAGTGGAATGATGCCTCTGTTTCTATTTTCTGTCATTTGTGTAAACTTCTGATTTCCTCTCGTACATTTCCATATATTAAAGGTGAACTTGGTTTTTATTTAGTCAGCAGTCCCATATTTTTATGATGCTCTTTGTGTTCTTTGTTTTTTTCTCTACAGTGTGTGGAATTTTTTTGTATCAAGGAATAACTGTTAACTTGTATATTTTAGATTTCCTTCTATAGTGCAGAGGGTATGGCTCAAGGGGAGTTAATCTCACGCCTATATATACAGCATGACTTTCTTTTTTCTTTGAGACAGAGTCTCACTATGTCGCCCTGGGTAGAGTGCCATGGAATCACAGCTCACAGCAAC